GACTAATGAGTTTGCCGACCACTGCACTAAGGTAAGAGAAGAGATGGGTCCTGATTACAAGAGCTCACGGATTTCTGAGTGTAACCACCTAATTCCAAGATAGGAAATAGATATATTTAACTATCTAAGTGGCACACCTTAAAAACATAATATACCACCACGATGCACAACCACACACACATACATCAGTATAGGAAAACTGGTTTGTAGCAAAAAGTTTATTACACTCCTCTAAATTGTCCAAAACACTTTTCATGTACCACTTTGTTTTAGCATTTGCTATGCACTAGAACAATAAAATAGTATTTATTACTACCTGTATTGTACAGCATTTAAAAGAGGCTGATTTATATTACCTTAGATCACATGTTAATTCTGGAGAAACCTAAGGTTTTCTTATTCTTATTTCACATCCTCAGAATAACACACTACCGTGTTTTCTATAAAAACATGAACATTTTTAATGATGCAAACCTGATTCACAAAACACACCTTCATAAAGGAAAGGCATCTTTAAGAAGTCAGTAAATTACGTGGCCATATCTTCCAAACACTGCTGATCTACAGTGCTACTTGTAGTTTTGAGTTTCCATTTACAATTTATGATCCCCTATTTTAAATACACATGCAAAACCTACCATCTATGCATCTCCTTTCTGCTTTTGTGCTTCCTCTGAATAGAATTTAGTTGCCACACCACATGGTCAGATTGTGCTTTAATATTAAATTTCCATTTTAAATTCGGAGGCATTAAAAACCCTCTGCTGAATACCGATTTAGCCCCTGGATTAAAGAAATTCAAAGTGAAAAGTTCTCAGAAGATCTTAGAATCATCTCCAATGTATCTTTCCTTGGGATATGGATTAGGGAATGGTTAGTTCACTTGGCACAAACTAAATATCTATTCTGTGCCACAGACGTGAATTGAAGTTTCTCCCAGAGTCATCTTGCAAATTTACACGACTTACTGAACCCACCCTGCAAAAGAATGTGGATGACACCATACAAAGCACTCACTATTATAGAAAAGAACAAAATACTTCTAATAATGTCTTTTATTGATGATATGTTTGTTATATTTGTTACACTTAATGAACTGCATATATTCTTTAAATAAATAATTCTCCAAAAATCATGAAATAATTTATGTGAAGAAAAAATATATAGTAAGAATCCAGAGCCCTGCCTGGTGTAGTTAGAGCATCTGCCTGGGAACTGAAGGGTCATAGGTTCCATGCCTGGTAAAGGGAGTGTACCTGGGTTAGAGGTTCCATCCCCAGTCCCTGAGTGCATGTGGGAGGCAACCAACTGATGATGAGTCTCTCTCACATTGATGTTTTTTGTTTTGTTTTGTTGTTTTTTTTGCTCAGAGATAGTGTTTATTGGCTCCTTCGAAATCAGAGTCATGACAACTGTACAGAGGACCCTAACCCTCCACTGCGCCCGCCCTTCCCCTTTCCTGCCTGGTGGCCACCGGAAAAAGCAGCTTCATGTGGGGCACAGGGAAACTCCTCTGGAATTCACAGTAACCAGGAACAAAAACGGAAATAAATTAAGTGATACAGGGGAGGGAGTCGTGTTCCCCAAATCAGTGCATGAAGAGGGGTTACCCAAGGCCTGGAACTGGGTTCCCCACCAGCTCCTCCACTTCAGAGTGTTCGGAGGCCCTGGACATGGAGATGTCCTCCATTTCCCACCTAAATTCTCTCTCTCTCTCCCTCTCTCCCTTCTCCTTCCTTTCACTCTCTCTCAAAAAAAAAAAAAAAAAAAAAATCAATGGGGATGAAGAAACCAAATGAACAAAGAATATAGAAATAACTCAGATGGTACTTTATTGATAGTTGGTTACTCTTTGCACTCTGTTCTTTTGAGTATAGAATGAAGTTACAGTATCATGGTATGTGTGATCCACCCTTATATTGAGGCCACCATTATCAGAAGATAAAATTATAGTTTGTAATTTTGGTGTATCAGTTAAAACATAACATCCTCAAATTTTCAACTGTTCTATAAAGCAGGCATTTTAAGTTGTGAGTAAAGAAATCAGAATTTTATATCAATTATTACTATGCAGTATATACTGAAAATAAGAGAGATCTTTAAAAAAATCTTTGAGAATTACCACCACATGAGTAATAGTTATTTAATGACTTTTGTAAGTGATAAAAATTCATAGTGATATTAACTACACCATCACAATTTTTAAAAATCCAAAGCAAACAAAACTATATGTACACAAAACACTTTAAGTTATATTTTGTATTTTATAGAGGACACATAAAAATGAAAAGCTTACAAAAGAAAGTGAAATGCTATTTTAATTAAGAAAAATTTAATGCCAGCCTAAAGTGGTGCTAAAATTCTGACTAAAACATGGCAACTGGAATTGAAACAGATTTAGTTCTTTTAGAAGTTGTTTCTAATTCTGAAGCTGCATATGTGCAGGCACACGTGATGGAGAATGCAAGGGTTGCCATGGTAAGTACACATCTTTTCTTGGACAGTCAAGTATAAAAATAAAATGTAGAAAAACTCTCACTTCATAATATGTCATGGAAATTGACTCTGCTTCCCCTACCACAACAAATTCAAATGATGCAATGCAGTAGAAGACAGAAATAGCCCACATTTTAAAAACTTCAGCCCATTAAGTGGCTTATAAAACATGGAGTGAAAAATAGAATGAGAAATCTCCAAGTTAGGTAACTCATTAAATGACGGGTCTAGAGCAAGTTCTGCCTCCAGGAGATTAATAATCACACGCCAGGACATTCCACAGGCCTGAGAAATCTCCCCAGGCGTCCCCACGCTGACATAGCTAAACATCACCCTCTGTGTACTTTAGGCCTATGGATCTTATTTTTAAAGAAAAATAAAATCCTTCCTACATCCTAGCTCATTTCTCATCCTGTCCTGGATCAATGGTTTCCAAGAAGCACAGATTTGACTCTGACCTACTGCCTTTTGCAAGATGATCTTGTGGTGGTTCTCTTAAGAGTCTGAGAAGTCGCTGCATGTCACCTGGTTGGAGGCGTGACTCTGGGACTGGGGAGGTGGCAGGATCTGTTGCTAATCCCAGCAGGTTCCCAGGCGCTGGGGAGCCCACGTGTGCAGGGGCTGGAGAACTTTTCCACCACATCGCTGGGAAGGAATGCCTCACTTTGAAATTGCAAGCTGGCTGGGCTGAGGGGCGAGGTGGGAGCTGAGCGGTGAAAGAGGAGGGAGGTGGGCAGCAGGGAAACCAATCTAATGGCCCAGGAGAAGGTTTAAGCAGCTCCCAGGTATCTACCTGCCTATGCTTCTGGACCACCTATTCCCCCACCCTCCACTCCCATTCACTCTAATATGTTCCCCTCTTACAGGAGGACTTGAGCAACTGGGATACTGAGCATCTCATAGGCTCAGCTTAGAACAAAGAAAACCGAGTTCCTAATACTGTATCTCTCCAGTTGGGGAGATCACGTGTCCTGCTTTCTCTGGAATGCACTCCTCTCGCCCACGCTAGAAAATCTCTATTGTGCTTAGAAATTCGGTCCAGGTTAAAATATATATATATGCTCACAGACAAATTGCTTTACATCTTATCACGAGGCACACTGCAAGGGACACAGGTCCACACAGGTACCTGCTGACCTAGTTCCCGATGCAGGTAGAGGGGATGCGTTGGGAGTGTGCTGGGAAAGTCGTCCACCGGAGCAGGTGGAGGAGGATCCTTCTGTCTCCCCGCACCCCCTCCCTCCTCAGCCTTTTTGAAGGGGAACTTCGACAGGAACGTGGGAGCCGTGGGAGTCGCAGATGGCTCCTTTCTGAAGCCAATCCCCGGGAGTTGTGAAAGTGACCCCCTCCTGCCTAGCCCACCGGCTTTGTTACTCGGTGGGGAGGAGGCGGTGCGGAGAGGGCGGAGGGGAGATGGCCAAGAAGTAGTATCATGGAAGCAAGGTTGCATGCAGCCATCCCCGTTGTGGGGAAGCCGCACGTTAAAGACATTCTGCACATCCCCTTCCATGCAACCCTGTTCCGGACTCGGCAAACCAGTTAAGCCTAGAGACCTTGGGAAACCAATCTCATAGCCCACCAGCCTGGGTGCCATGATGATGGTGATGCGAATGCACTTCCCTCCCTCTCTTTCCACGCCGGGATCCCCAAACTAGTCCTGCATCCTTAAGGACTCTAGGAGGAGGACATCAGGTGCTGACTGGGGGCTAGTGATGGGATCGGATCAGGATGGTGCGGGCTCCCTCAGCTTCTCTGTGCAACACAAAGGAGCTGTGTGGGTAGGAGTTGTCTGGCTCAGGGGGAGGGAGGCATGGTGCTCCCTGACTCCCGGGGAAAGCATTCACCCCGTTGCTCCCCACTTCTTTGGGTCCTCATGTCCTCCAGGCTGTCACACGACCCTTCCCCATCCACCTCCCCAAACCCCACCCTGGGCCTCCAATCCCCTAATGGCATAACGATCTTCTCATTGTATCTTTCAAACAGACATCCAACAGTAACACTATACCTCCCAAGGTAAATGAGACCTGCCACAAGTGGGGTGTGTGTGTGTGTGTGTGTGTGTGAGACAATTTTTTTTTAAAGCGCTTCACCCTCAGACACCTTGGGGGCTGCCTGGAGAGATAGCTGCGATGATAAGGAAGAGGAGTCAGGACTAACCTCAGCCCCACCAAGGGTCCCAGAAGGAGCGCCAGGCACTCGCTCCTTACATCTCCTTTCAGCAGCATGTAGCCTTTCATAGGGTCTCCCGCCAGCCCAGACCACTCGGTGCTTGCTCCCACGCACCCACACAATTAGCACCCCGTTTCCAAATACCCCGCAACCTACCACATCCCCGCCGCCTCCACGGGCCATGGTCAGCAGCTCCCGGAGCGCTGGAGGCTCCGGTTCCCCCTCTCCCCGCCCCCGCCCCCCGCCAGGGTCCCGCACCTCCGGCGCACGAGGCGAGGGTCTCCGCAGCCCCTCCCACCCCCCCCTGGGCCACTGATCAAGAGTGTCCTACTCACATGGCCGGCAGGAGAAACTGCCCATGAGGTTCCGGAGGGAGTGAATCGTGCAGCCGCCCAGGGTTATTCCTTAAAGTGGTCCGGGGTCCGCAGTGGAGTGGGCGCGCGCGTCCTCGGAGGAGGTGGGTACCTGGGAGGTCTGTGGCAGGAGGAGGAGCTGGAGGAGAAAGAGGGGATTCCGGGCAGGTGCCACCTTAGACCATGGTGCCGCCGGTGCCCTTCAGGTGGACGGCTGGAGAGGTTCCCGCGGGAAGCGGCCGCGGAGTGGAAGCCCGGGGCGCAGGCGGGGGCGGCGGGAGCGCTTCCCTCCCCGGCCTCCGCCCGCCGTGCGCGCCGCGGGAGCGACCGCAGCAGCAGCAGCAGCAGCAGCGGAGGAGGCGCAGCTCCTTCCCCGCCCCCCAAAGGCTCCACAGACAATAAATCCTGGGCGGAGAGGAGATGAGCAGGAAAGGCGAATCGTGCACCCAACTCCGTGACACTCCCTGCCCGCCGCTGCCGCGCCTCCGTGGGGCGAGGGTCCCCGGGGACCGGGGGACGGTGGGCGGCTCGGAGGGGGGGCTGTGCGCTCCTCCCGCGGCTGCAGGCGACCGCGGTGGCCCGAGGGGGCTGCTGCGGGTTCCCTCCGGGGAAAACCCGCTGCCAGGGGCGGGATGTCCGTGGCTGCCAGCCCGGGGTTCTCCTGGAGCGAGGTCCTCCTCGGTGCAGCGGCTCCGCGCACAGGTGCCAGGATTGGCAGGAGAGGAGGCGCAGCTCGTGGCTCGCTCTCGGCTGTGTCTCCCCGCTCTCCCCGCCCCCTCTTTTTTTCTTTTTTTTCTCCCACCCCCTTTTCCGACGAAACTAGCTGCAGCTGCTACAAAGTGTGAAAAATGTCAAGGAGATTTTCCCGCGACAGGAGGTGGGGGGTGGATTTGACCACGTTCACGGGGATCTCGGCCCCTTTTGGAGATGCTCGCTTGCCCCTCTGACCTCTACTGAGGCTCCCTTGAAACAGAAGGAGAAAAATGCCAGTCCGACGGGCAATTGAAATGCTCGCTTTGTCACAGGCTGCTTTTGGAGGAGGGGGCAAGAGGCCGAGCTCTAGGATCCCTTCGGGAGCCCCCGGTGCGCGAGCAAAGTGCTGAGGACTCGGCGCCGGGCAGCGCGGTCCCCGCTCCTCCCGCGGCCGGACCGGGAGCTGCGCTCGCAGGGTGCACGGTGGGTCCCGCGGCGCTGACGCCCGTGACGCCGCGCTCGTGGCTCCGCAGGCTGCTGCTCCTGCCACCTCAGCAAAGAGGCGGCGGGAGCGCCTCCTCGGGGTTTCCTCCCCCGCCCGCCTCTCCCGCTGCAGGTTGTTGGATGCCAAGGAGAAAAGTCTCTGCTGGCGGTTGGGTCGCTTCGCATCCGTCAGTCAAGGCAGCGAGCGACCTTTGTGCCTGCTCTCCTGTTCCCCTCTTTTTTTTTGGGGGGGTGCCTGGGTTGCTGCCCTGGGGGGTGCGCAAAAAACACAAAGGGGTTTCCTGACTGCCCTCCTGCCTTGAACACTCTCTCTCACACACACACACTCATATACCCCCTTCCATCAAGGCACACACGGACACTGTATTCTCACACACTTAAATTTAAACTCATAAGCAGCAATATGTTAAGAAACACACGGATGAAGTTAGTACTATATTTAGATTTCTCTTTTATTCTCTAGACCCATCTGCTGAATTCCCTCTTTGAAAACAGCTTTATTATCCTGGAATCATTCTTTTTCTTTTTCTTTTTTTTCTGAATATAAGCCATAGGTTTTGCTTTCCTCACCAGGGGAGAGAAAGAATCTTCTCTCTCTTTTTTTTTTTAGCTCTATAAATGCTAAAACAGTCAGACTGCATGTCATTCAATGGCCACTCCTGGGTGGATGTCAGCTCAGTTTCCTAAAAAGAAAATGCACTTGCTTGTATTCTTAGATTTGCAATGCTAACACCGTCAAGGTCAAAAAGCCTTTCTGGCTGTAAGAGATTTTCTAGGAAGAGTATTTGAGACTGACACCTATCCACAGAGGACCAGAATGAGGATTCTTTTCCACTTTATCTGGGCCATGAAGGTGGGCCGACTTTTAAGGAAAGCCTCCAAGTATTTCATGAATTTAGTTAGACTGAAAAAGAAATGAGAGTATATTTTGAAAAGCCAGTCCATTTTAAAACACCACTGAGAAAGAGCTCTAAAATAAATGGCAAGGAGATGAAAAAATAAAATGTTATAAGGACAAATTTTTTAACTGACTTCTGTGGAGCTCTATTTTCACCCATAGTTTTGTCCTTGTAAACATTTTTTACAACTCAGTGTTTCACCTGGGAGTAGTGATATGAAAAAAAGCAGGTACTAATAGAAAATTAAAAAAAATAACTTGCCATAACGTTTATACAGTTGTAGCAATCTTTTTATGGGCTTCAAGTTCTTTTGGACGCATTTTGCACAGAACTTTTACATATATTCTTTCATTCAATCCTTTTCTAAATTTATTTGGTGGATAGTGTTAACCACACTCCCAGGAAGGGCACAAAAGATCAACTCAGAAAGGTACCCATTGAATTTTATATTTTAACTTCAACCTAAATATTTGACAGAAATTCTATTTAATGTCATAGCTAGTTATGAGTATAGATCCTTGCAAATAGGCTATGTACCTACCAATGGCATTATCCTCCAATGTGTTAAGTGGACTTGTTTTTCTAAGTGAAAACAAATTTATTTCTGTTCGATGGAGAGAAAGATGTTTTTGGAACCCTAAATTAAAATTTGATGACTCCCCTATAATATGTTTTAAACCATATGCTATCCTTTCCCCTTTATTTTTCCCTAGAACCATGACTTCAGGCCACAAAGATCCAAAAGGATAAGATATATTAATATGTACAGATGTGACATAGTGCCTATGGTTTTTAACAAACATGATTTTAGCATAAAAAAATTAAGAAAGGAGAAGAATATTCTCTGTAGAATAGGCTTTGGATACAATAGTCCAATTTTTTTTCTAAGGTTTTTTGAATCTTGAACAAAATTGGCCACCTTCACTATTTAAACAATGAGGCGGATTGAAGAGATTTCAATGGTTTCATAGAATGATGGAACTATTGAAATGCAAGTGCAAATGCTGTCTCTAAACTCCAAGTTGCCCTGTCATCAACCCTCTGGAAATACAGATGACTATCTGAAAATTGAAGAAAGAAAGAGGAGTGTTCCATATCCTTAGGCTGTCATTCAGGCAGAGGCCCAACAATAAAAACAGTAACAACTTTAAAAATCAGATCAAGCTAGTTTTAACAGATTAGCTCTTCAGATTACATCTGTGAATAACTAGACATTAAGCCTACAAAATTTTATAAGTTGTTAATTATTTTGACTCACATTACTAAATTTTTTGAAATGATAGTTTGTTCCTAGGACAAACAGAACTAACCTTATTTGAAATATAAAAAGACATAGAATGATATTAAGCAATAATTTTTATTTAACAATTTTTCCTAGTCTTTCTTTTTGAAGGCCTGGAATGACACCCTTGCCTTAAATGATTTTTCTCTTTATCAATTCCAGGTTAAGACATAACTATGTATAGAAAGCACAATAAGTTTAGCTTTACCAACTGTTACTATCTTAATAGGATTGACTTAATTAGATATTAGTTCTTGAGGAAATAAAAAACATTGTTCAATTTTGATGCATGGAGATACAGGTCTGAAGAGCTCAGAGCTAGGTCGAAGAGGAGCAGTATCAGTGGAATACCTAGGGATAGGAAGTGCTGCATTGTTGTGGTTAGTTTTTGAAAAGCAGGGAAGAAGTTCTGAATAGCAAGTGAGACTCATTAAGATTCATCTTCAAATTAGTTAGATGGCCTTCTCCATGAAGCTTATCTTTCAGGTTAATAATCTGTGCTTCCTAAAGTGAATGCTGCTTTATTGTGGGTTTTAATCTATTTCCATAACTTTTATTTTTAAACATAAATGTGCATATTTAAGATACACAAAATACAATGAGCACTCATGTGCCCACCATGCACCTTAATGAAACTCAAAAATTGAAATGGAATGCCCTGAATTCCTGGGTTCTTGTCTCAATGGTTTTGAAGAACGAAGCCGATGAAAGGTGATAGGTTAAAAAGCACAGAAACTTTATGGCAAGCAGAAACTTTATTGCAAGCAGGCACTACCTCTAAAACCGAATTCTAAATTCTAAGCCTAGGACTCTGTCCCTCCTGGACAGACAGAGGGACCCCTGAGAAAGGTGACCACTGCTTTCTTTGTCTTGAGGCATTAAATAGGCTGCAGTTCTTTGTCTGAACCTGACCCCTTATTGGTCATTTTGCTACACAGTATTAGTTTTCAAAGCTCAAAGCACACATGGTGTCTCCCACCCTCTCTCCCCCTTATCTTGTTGGTTCGAGTTATTATACTTTTGATTTATCTTCTAGCTCTGCTAGTTATGTGGGCAAAGAAAACCTTATCTAATGGCCCTCCCAGTTACTCAGGTCAGGGCTACTTTTGGCCTAACTTATGGTGATTTTATTGCTCAGGCCCGAGATACATTTGGTTTATGTCTGTCCTAATTGCACAGGCCAGATATATTTCTATTTGCCTATTCCATTTCTCTACTCTCTGTACAAGATAAACACCCTGGTGTCTTCAAGTCTTCATTATGTATTTCTTTCCTATAGGCCTCTTTTATTTCTAAAACTTCCTAAATCTGCCTAATTAAACTAGCTAGCTAATTTTCATTAGGAGGGAAAGTTGAAGTTTCACTCCCATTCTTCCATTTCTGCTCCCCTCGCCCCACAGAAGTCACCTCATTCCTAAACGTTGTATCATTTGTACATTTATGTATTCCTTACTGCTAAAAATATTTTAGTATTTAAACCTTAATAAGTGATATAAAGCACTATGTATGCTTTTACAGCTTGCTTTTGATTAAAAAACAACATTCTGTTTGTGAGAATTCTGAAGTGTCACTCTGTTTCACTAATTTTTACTGCTGCATTGTAGCTGACTGTATGAAATTACTATATTCACATTCTGATGACAATGTTTGTTTTTATAACTACATCTTATGAACATGTTTGTTTACATCCTCTTTATGTATAATTATGAGAGTTTTTCTAATTTATATATCACATAAAAGTGGATTTCTTAGGTTATAGAATACATTTAATATTAAATTGTTTTCAAATAGTTTATATTCCTGCTATCATTTATAAGAGTTTTTATTGATTAACTAGAGGCCTACTGCATGAACCTTGTGCACATGGGGTTTTTGTCCCTCAGCCCAGCCTGCACCCTCTCCAATCTGGGACCCCTCAAGGAATGTCTGACTGCCTGTTTAGGCCTGATCCCTAACTGAGCAGCTGGACATCCCTCTCACAATCCAGGACTGCTGGCTCCCAACTGCTCAGCTGCCTGCCTTCCTAATTGCCCCTAACCACTTCTGTGTGCCAGCCTGATTGCCCCTAACTGCCCTCCCCTGCAAGCCTGGTCCCTTCCAACTGCCCTCCGTGGCTGGCCATCTTGTGACCATATGGGGCAGCCATCTTGTGTTTGAGTGATGGTCAATTTGCATATTACTCTTTTATTAGATAGAATATCTTAGCAGCACTTGGAATAACTAAACATGTTCATGCTTTCCAGTCTGATGGGTGTGAAGTGATATGTTAGTATTGTTTAAATAGATACTTTCCCAGTTACTTATGAGATTGAGCACATTTTCATAGGTTTATTAATAATCTACATTTCCAATATCAATAGCTTGGTTTATATATTTTGCTTATTGTTAGACTGTATTTTCTTGGTGTGTGTGTGTGTGTGTACCAGATTCTAAGTCTTTGTCAGTTATAATTCAACTTTAGTTTTTAATCTTAATATGGCCTATTTTTAATAAAAATAAATTTCAATTTAATATTATCAATTTTATCATTACTTTCCTTAATGATATGTACTTTGTATTTAGTTTAAGAAAACATTACTACCCCAATATTGTAAATATATTTTTTCTACATTGTGTTATAATTCTTTATAATTTGATTTTTACCTTTCAGACTCTAAACCATCTGAGATTAATTCTGTGCAATGGTGTGAGGTAAGGGGTTAATTTTTGTTTCTGTTTTCATGTTTTTCCTCATGAGATAATTGATTGTACATACCACTGCACCATCT